TCCCTAGACAAGGAGTTGCAGGCATCACTGAGACAGGAAGATGCAAATCTTTAGCAGGTTTCATTATGTTTGGGAGCTGGTAAGTTAGAGTAATTGATCAGTTTTTTGGGGCAGGAGGGATTGTCACCTCAGTCTGTGCTTATCCTGGTTTTCTATTTTTTTAATTGGAGAGCATAAAAAATACCCAAAGGACTTCTAACACGTGGAGACAGTTTGTCATAAGCTGTGAAACTGTAGTGTGATATTTAGCCATTTGTGCTTACATTTAGTCTTTTATGTTCAGCATGTTCTGATCTAAAAAACAGACAGGAAGTCCAAGTTATTAAATGCTGAATAATGAATACACTGCTTTGTGATTTTTGGCAAAGGTTTTATTTGTAACTTGTATGTTTATTCAGGTCAGTGTATGGTAGTGACACTATAGTTCCAATAATAAGCATTTAAGATTCAAATTTAATTAATCTATTCTGATTAGTAACAGCTGAAGACAGAATAATTGTATGGAATCTGGTGCTGTGCTGACCTGGGAGTGTAAAGGGCCCATTTTTGTATTTGTAACCATTTCACTGTCTTGTCTAATTAACCTTAGATTGCACCAAACCATCTGCATGTATGAGAGTAATCATGGTGTGTAGCACAGAAGTCGTGTGCTGCCTGGGCTGTTACACAGGGCTCATGATGTTGGTTTTGAAGCTGATCACTTTTTCAATATTGTCTCTTTTCCTCTATGGTTAGACAAATTCCTAAGGAGCAAAGTACAAAACAGACTGACAGACTTTTCACACAAAGCTGATGTGTGCAATCTACAAGAAGTAACTGCTGAAGGTCCAGGAGAGTGTTATTATGAAATGTTCTGTGCCTTCAGTATTTAACCTGTTTGGGTTTTTTGTTCTGAAACTTAATTTTCAATAATGTCTCTTATGCCCTTTATAAGGGGAAGAAGCTTATGTGGGTAGTCTACTTTAAGGATATATTTTACTAACAGTGAAATTAAATTATAGCATGTAAATTACTTTTTCTTTGTACATAGCTTGTGATAAATGTTGTCATTCCCTGTGTGGTTTTCGTGCATTTCTAGTAGTCGTTAGCCTCCCACTCACTGAATATCTGAACTCTAGCTCCTTGGGAAAAGTCCATACTGTTCCATAAGATGTGGAAGCAAATGATCACCCCATGTATTGTTACTCAGTCTAGTCTACCTTTGGTGGAGATGTGAAGCAGTCAGCCTTTCTGAAACTTGTGGAGGTGTTATAACTGTTATTAGCTGGTTTTATTTGTTATTAGATTAATGGAAATTTCGATTCCCCTGTCCTACTTCTAACGTCATGATCTTCTCCAGGATCATAAATTAAAAATCACTGCTAAGTTCTGGTCAGCATTGCCAGCACTCTGACTGCTTTAATTTAGAGTTAACAGATAGAATTAACTTTATTTAATTCATTGTCTTCTAAGTTCCTATGCAGCTCACTTGTCAAGATGATAGAGCTGAACAAAATGCTAAAACACAACTGACTTTATACAGATGTCTGCCACAAACTTCAAATTCCCATTGCCCCTTTTCCTCTGCCTTGCTGTCCCCTTTCTTGGGAATATGTGTGACCATCTGAGCAGGCAGGTAAAGCATCAGATGCTTTGTCAGCACTGTTTGCCCTCTACTTGGCTATAGAGCTCACCAGTACCTGAGCAAAGAATTCCCCTTGTGTGCAGGTAAAGTAAAAATCTTCAGCACTCTGATCCTCTAAAAATGCATTTTTAAAAGACCTTGAGGGGCTGAGAGTCATAGCTTGACTAATAGTATTGCAGGCAAAACGTTATTACTAGATATTTGCTCTTTGACATTAATAGTGCTCGTACTTGAAGTGTCATTGGAAACAGCAATGTATTTCTTGTTTTGTTCCTTTGTACTAGGATTACTCCAGCGATGATACTAAACTGGAATACAATGTAGATGCAGCCAATGGTATTGTTATGGAAGGTTATCTATTTAAACGAGCCAGCAATGCCTTCAAGACTTGGAACAGGTAATTATTCAGAACCCCTATTTGCTGCTTATAAAGATACTGCTTGTTAAGCTAAATTCTGATCTGACTTACAACCTATGTAACTCACTGACTCCACAGTTTTGACAGAACACTGGAGTGACTGTTAATTAATGTAGAAATGAGACTTGAAAGGAATTTTTCCTTGTTTTCTGTCCTAGTTGGTTGTAAACCTTTCTCAGAGTGTATCCTAGTTTGGAAGAGTCCAGTGTACGAAAAGCTTACTCTGCTGGGTGTAGTTCAGCTCTGAGATTGTGCTTTGGCCTTACTTTGAGGTTGAAACAGAGCAATCCTTGCAATTGCACACACTATGTGAATGTATATGCTGGGAAACTGTTAGAGGACCAAGTGAAATGAAGTGTGTAGCCATTGGAAGCAGAGAAATACAGTCAAGGACTCCAGTTATTTGTCCTGAAAGATAAGCAATGTAGTTGTTATTTTTTACAGTTCCTGTCCTGTATAGTGGCTTCAGCTTAGTAGTTTTGCTGCTCCTGCTGGGAATTCAAAATATATTGCTAGTCATCTCTCTTTCACAATATATACTTTACTACTATTTAAATTTTTTTCTCCCTGAACAGGATTTCTTTTGCATTTCCAAGGGTGTATGCTTTTTCTTCAAGGGAATATATATATACTAGAGCATTTACAGCACAGTTGGATGCAGTTGGTGAATTCTGAAGTTAATTTGTTGTGATACAGAGCTCTCTTTTCTATCTATGTTCTGCTATTTTTTCAGCAGTGCTTCTGTTAAACTATTTGTTGTACTTAAAAGGCTAGAATGTGCATTTGGATGTGTGGTCCCTTCCAGTCTTAATTATTCTATATTTCCTTGGGCATCTCAGAAGACCACAAGTCTAACAAATTGGGATTGCTTCACTTAAATCCATAGATGGATAAATAAAACTCTCAGTAAAACTATCTATATTAGCAAGCTATGGGCAACTAGTACATAGGAATTTGCTTTGAACTAACTCTGGCCTGGTCCTATGGTCTGATTATTTGTCTGTAATTGTTATGTACCTTCTGGGTTAGTTTCATGCAAGCAGAATTCAGAGTTCTTCAAGACAAATCTGTGAAGCATAAAAGGACAGTGAGGGGAGAAAACTGGGAGATGAACTGCAAAAGCACATTCCTGGTGTGAAGTAAAATGTTAGTGTAAGCATACTGAGAAAAATCTGCAGCACAGAAACAGGGCAGGAGATTATCCTGTATTGGATTCCCAACAGGCAGGAAAAGGTGCTTTTTGCAAGGTGTTTTGCAGGACTGACTGAAGACAGAACTCTGACTCACTCTCTGAGTTCCTCTTTGAGACAGCAGCAAGGCCTTGGCTCTGCAGGGGGGTGACAGGAGGAGCAGGACAGGAATGTTGGAGAGTAGTGGGAAATACTCTTCTTCCAGGTGGCTTCATACCTAGTAACACTGCACATGTCTTAGCCTTAAAGTGGTTAGAGAATAGGCATCAATTAAAACTAACTTCCATGTGTTGGAAATGTAACTGGATACAGAGTAAATAAGGAGAAGTTAAAATTAAGTCAAGACACAATGACTTTCCTTCAGATTAAGTTACAGATATGAACATACCTAATAAAAGCAAACCCAAACAGTTTTTTAAGGTAGCCAAGGTAAACAGCTCAGTAATGAGTCAGAGCTATAGAATTGATATTTGCTTATAGTTTTTTTTCTTCTGTTTATCACAGGAATAGTCAGTAAAGCAAAACCCTTAACCTTTTTAATATAAGAGTCTTGATAATTTATCTCACTGTGATAGACTAGTTGGATGCTCCAGAGTTAGGCAGAGAATAGGATTGGATATGCTATCTGTAAGCAGTTCACAAACCATTCCTGATTGTTATGAAACTGCTATTATCGTAAATAAAATACACACTTAAGACTTTCTTACTGAAGACAACTTTTAGTTTCTGAATCTAGCCCCCATTTTTAATGTTTTAATGAAAATAGAGATGTATTTTAATCTTATTTCTGAATACATTTGCAATTGTTTGCCACCTCATAGGCACTGAAGTGGTCACTGCCTGTTTCCCTGGTGGAATGCTTTATTGGTGTAGTGCTGTGGTTGCAGCTGTGGGGAGATAATACTGATTCATGTTTGCCATATCTTAGAGATGAGGGTGTTTTTCCAGTCACTAGCTAGAGTACAAGAAAGGACTGTGTCATTGTATGAAACAGTTTTGTGTGTAAAAATGTGTGAACTATCAAAAGAGGAAACACTTAAGAGAATTTAGGAAATTCTGAGCTGAAGTCAGAGACCCCCCAAGACAGACAAAATACTTTCAGTGTTCTTACCAGGTTGGTAGTTTGCTGCTTCAACATATGTCCATCTTTGGAGAAGGTGGGTGAAAAATCAACCAGCTGAAACAAAAGCAGAAAAACTTGCCTAGAAAGACTCCAGTTTCCTGATGTTCTGAACCAAGGGTGACAGCACTGATCTTCCTTGCTGACTGCTAATTGCACTGTCAGTAATATGTATTTAAAATGGAGGCTTCTCTTTTCCCTCTGTTGGTATGAGTTGGTGTGTTGTTGGTTCTAGGCCTTCTAAAAAAGTTCTTTAAGACTGAATTAAAGGCACCAAAACCACTGCCATGACCACTATAGAGGGTGTACTTGCCAGCATTAAAAACATGAGAGAAAAGGAAATGGTACAATAGATTTTGTCTGGGTTTGACACACATCAGTATGATTCTAGTGAACAAATTGAAGAACTGTGGTGCTTCTGTATACATGTCTTGGTCAGTGAATCCAAGGACCCCACAGTGGATTGTTCTGGGAAAAGTCTAGTTACTGTGGAAGAAGAAACCCAAGACTGTATAATACAGCCCTTTGAAGGGTGGCAAATGTGTTAAAATGATTAAACCTTTTGTTTCCAATCCAAGCTAACTTTCTTTCTAGAATGATGAATAAATTGGGAGCTTGGGTTTCATTGTCTCAAGACTTGAGTTATTTGGACTTTTGCATCAAGTTTCCTGTTCTTGGGATGGCTCTTCATGACACTGGCTTGAGAAACAAATAAGTGTGTGAGCAGGTTGCAGAGTAAACCATGAGCTGTTTGTAATTAAGCATTGCTGTGTTTTGAAAGAGATGGAGATTTTGCAGTCTTTTTGCTGTGACTGAAAGGACAGTGTATAATGTACCTGAGTATTTCAGATAATGCAGTTTAGTGGAATCAAAATGGTGTTTTTATATTGCCAAGTCTTGCAGTAGCAGGTGTGGAGACCTGTTTTTTGAATGTCTGTCTGTTGGTAAATGATATACCTTATTGTACACCATTTTTCCTAAGGCATCAGGAACTGGAGTCAGGTGCATTTATTATTATGGAGTAGCTGGAAAGCTGTTTTGGTTCCTAGAAATTCAAATGAAAAATAAGTTCATACCATGAAGAAAGATATGCATGAATAAACATGTATAGGGAGAAAAGCATTTGTCAAACCACTGGTATGTTTTAAATAGCTTTTAGATTGGATGCATTAAATGTTTTTCTTTTTAATTCTGCTGTATTTTCAGATCATGCTAATTCTTTGCTTATTTTGCTCATTTTGCATTTTTCATTCCTTCTCCTCCTTTCTCTTATGTTTTAATCCTACCCCATTTTTTCACATGACAGGAAAAAGCCAGATCACATCAGGTACCAACCAGCTTCTTTTATACCTTCCCAATGTTTCTTTGGCACGCAAAAAGCTCTTCATTAACCCTGCATTTAATTTTGATTACTTGCAATGGATGTGTAAGTGACTCAGTCTAAGAAAATAACAGAAGGATTCTGCCTGGGATGCCAGTGCACCTGCTGCTCAACGCTGTTAAAAGAATCAGAAAGATTGAGCTAGTTTTAGCTAAAAAGGAATTAAAGCAAAGTTTCTGCACTCAAACTTCTGAGCATTCAAGATCAGTGTTTTGACTTTTTCCAAATGAAGTTGGTGAGAGGTTTTTTTTCTCATCAACTGCACTGGGAATAGAGATGTACTTTTAAATGTTGTGCATTCTAATCACTATTGTTTGCGTGCTGCTAGCAGCTAGAGAAGAAAACTTTCCTTTTGAGAACCAATAAACATTAATTCTTTTATGTAAAACTCAAATTTTTATATTTCTTTTTAGTATTAATCTCAGTTCTCAGAAATTGGATTTTTTTTTCTGTAAATTTTGCATCGTTTCCTATTTAACACCTTTGAGTTGTGTAGGTAGAAAATGATGGCAAACATCGTTTTCTAAACTCACTGTATTAAAGCACACCAAGTGAGTTAGTGTAAATTACTTCTAGATTCCCAAGTATGTTTCCTCCTTTACCATATTTCTCCCCAATTTTTGACCAAATGACATGTTTAAAGGGACTTTGGTAGTGGTCAGCAGTGAAAGCTGATGAATGTTGTTCTTGGCACAGGTTGGATGAAGGTTACCCTGTCACAGTGCCATCAGTGTGTGGCTTGCACCTCACAGCTTCCTGGCCCTTACTGCTGAGGACCCAGCAGTGTTTCCTGCACTAATGCATAGAGTTAAGTGCTTGCTTAATGAAAAATAACTCGGAGATTTTGGCCTGAATCAAAGTGCTGTGGTGCTGACAGCTTGGAGGGCAGTCTGCCACTTTTTTATCTTGGCAAACGTAGGATAAAATGTGTTAACTCTGACATCTACTCCAAAATTGTCATCTCCAAGTTGCCCTACATTCTAAATTGTTCATCTTGTTCAATGAAAGTTTCTTTAGATTATTACTGAAAACCTCATTGTTTTTGGCTGGACTGGAGATTTCTCTTACACAGATTTAATTTCTCTGCTAGGAAAAACAGGGACCAAAATATTTTTGAACACTTCCAGACTAGGCTTTAAAGATGACAGCAGTTAATGTCAGAATTTGTGTGCTTGCTTATATCCACTTGATGAGAATGGAGCTGGTTTACTATAGAAACTCACAAAATATTTAAGCTGTAGAACAAATGAATCACTGCATTAATAAAGTTAATTCACTTACCTAAGGCTGTTAATTAGGGATTTGCTCCATTGCATGTTGTCTTGGGGCAAAGCTGCTTTTTTCCCCCTTTGTCACGTAGGCACTGCTTTCCAGGTTTTTCTGGTTTGTGTTATGTTCAACAAAAGCACATAAAGCCTGAGTTTAATTTCTTTTCTAGTCTGCTTTTTTTGTTGAGTTTCCTATGTAAGTATTGGCAATAACCTGCCTTATGCTCATATTTGAGGCTTAGTTACTGCATCTATGGGTTTTTTAAACAGATGGTAAAGGTGATACCTTTTAAATAGCAGTGACCAAAATTAATTGCTGTTAATAAACTGAAAACATAGTTGCCTTTTTGCATCATTCTGTTCAATTACCTTAAGCCAAAAAGCTGGCTCTTTGGAAATCCATTATTAAAAGGAGATCCTGTTGTTGCTTTTTAAATTCAATGTTACCTGCACAACATTTGAAAAGATTAGTTGTTAAAAGGTAGAATCTCATCTGTCTACTAAGCACTAACTTTTCTAACAGATACTAGATTTTCTGTTTTGAATCTAACATGATGTATCTTAATGGTTCTTAACAATCTTTGTTGCTTCTCTTCGTGAATGGCTTGTGGTGGTTGGATAAACACATGGACCTTTTGTCACTAATTGTAATGAACTGCAGCTGAGGCTCAGCAGCCTGTGGAGAACAGGACCTGTCACAATACAATTTCTTGTCCACTCTTACCATTCCAACCAACTGTCAGTGCAGGAGAAGGTGCTGTGTGGTACAAGTGAGGTACTGGAGGTAGTTGAGCAGTTATGCTATGGTAAACACACATTCACATTATAAGCCTAAAGAAAACAGTATACATTTCCTTTCTAGACTGAATTATTTTTTGCATTCCCTTCATTTTTGTCAGTTCAAAACCAGAGATGGTTGGTTAGCTTTTATTCTGAGCATCCCCAGAAGAGCTAGAAAGGTGTGGTTGTATCTGCCTTTTCTAATGCTCAGTGGTCTGATAAAACACCACTGTTCAAGATCTGACATGCTTGTAATTTTTTTCCAAAACATGAATGGTCTCTCCACTCTGAGCTGTGTCCTGGCTGAACACTGAGCCTGACAAGGAAGGGAGCAGTTCAGCGCAGTTGTTAAGCATTATGTTATCTTTTGGATTTTATAGGATGCCTTCATTAAATCTTTTATTTGCTATTTTCTTTCAAAGCTGAGGCTTGAGTTAGGGTCCTGCTTAAAAGGTTTTCCTCGGGGTTTTTTTTAGTTTTTATATTCAGTCTTTTTAATTTAGGCTCTAAAATTTTAAGGAATGCCCAATATAGATAGATATTAAACCTGCATGGGTTAGCAACACTGTGGTATTTTTAGTGCCTTAGCAAGTCATTTTTTAGTTCTACACTCAGAAATATTTCCAGAGTAGTTTACATCATTTAGATATTTTTGTGACCAAGCTGAGTTTGTGTTATCAAAACAATTACTTAAAATTGTGGCTTGCTAAAATACAGAAGGAAATGTTCCTTGACAAGATAATGTTTTGTGTGATAGCTTAACTAATGTTGTCATAACATGAATGTATTTGTTTAGGACTCAAATTATTTGAACTTTGCTTTCATTTCTGTTTTGTCTCTGCTTTCCCTTTTTTCATTCTCACGAAATACTTGCCAAAACTGACTGCAGCATTACTTTTGTGCCTTTTTATGCAGTCTCTCTGTAGACTGTGTGTTGGACATTTTGGTCAAACAAGCTCTGTGAATTCAGTTATGTATTCTCTGGATGTCTCTTCATTTGCATAGGCGCTGGTTCTCAATACAAAATAACCAACTTGTGTACCAGAAGAAATTTAAGGTAGGAATCACAAACTGGCTTGGGATAGGTTGGGGTCTGGGTGATCCTGATTGGGGAAGCAGGGCTGACATTGGCATCCTGTGTGTCTTCAACAACCTACTTCTGCTTCTAAATGAGCTTCTCCCTTTGTAAAATGAGACTAAGAGCTACACTGACAGATTTTGAGATTCCTGTGCAGTGACTTGCGAGCACTTTATTTGCTGTGGATTTTGTAACCTAGTTAGAGCTTTAAAAGTTGTTGGTCCCAAAAGGCACATTTGCTGGCAGTCAGATACTCTGAGCAGTTGTGTGTAACTCTTTCAGGACTTGCTCCTTCCAGTTACTTTCTGATTCACATACCCAAATTCAGCAGTTGGGGGGAGAGAGGAAAAAAGCATCAAAGCATTTGTTATGAAACAGCCAGGGCTGCT